CTCCGGCCATGCTGAGGCCACGTCCCACATACAGCAACTAGAAGGATGTGCAGCTATGACATACAACTATCTACTGGGGCTTTGGGGGAAAAAGAAAAAAAGAAATAAATACAAATTAAATTATCTTCAAAAAAAAATTGCTGATATTGAGTATATGTTGAAATAAGATTTTGCACATATCTGGGTAAATAAAATACATGAACAAAATTATTTTCACCCGTTTCTTTTTACTTTTCTTAGTGTGGCTGCTAGAACATAAGCCTTCACACGTGGCTCGCTTCCATTTCTCGTGGATAGCACTGGTCTGGGGAATTTGCTGGCTTTCCATCTGGGAGGACATCAGGGGCTGGGGTGCCATATGTTCTGGGCCACGGAGCCTCAGGATTTCTTGTGATGTTCTGGAACATTCCATGTCAGAAGCATGTTCAGGCAGAGCGACTGATGGTCATGCCAACAATGTGGCTTCTAAAAGATGCTCTGAAATCCATGTCTCCATCATACCTGGATGAAGAAGCTATTTAAGTGAGAGAGACCAGAGTGCCACCCAAGACTTTGTGGCCACTCTGTATACGGAGTTTATTTTTTTTTCACAAATTATATACGTGTGCCTCTATCGACAATGTTATAAAATAAAAATTGACAAAGCTGAGATAAATACTCAACATCACTGGATGAGCCAGGCTGCTGCGAGGTCCCGAATTCACATCCTGACTCTGTCCCCTCCCTGGCTCTAATTCCTTCCATGAGGCACTTGTCCTCGGTTTCTTCATCCAGAAACTGGGAGTGTTTGTTCCTGTCCCCCAAGGGTTGTTGGGGGGACTCAACGGAGGGGATGGTTGACTTGGACCTTGAAGGATGGAGAAATATTCACTAGTTGGAGAAGGATGGGAAAGGTATTCCGGGCGGAGGGAACCGAATGTTCATGGTCGGGAGGCATGCCGGAGCACGATGTGTTTGGGAAAAAGCAAGCAGTTTGGGTATTATTTGAGGGCAGAGTGAATGTGTGTTGGGGAAAGGATGCGAGGGGTAGGGGGTGGGGGAGAGGCAAGAGATGGGGTTGAAGAAGGCAGCAGCGTTCAGGCCACGGAGGGCTGTGTAGGTCAGGGGACGGGAGCACTGGGGAGCCACAGCAGGCTCTGAGCAGGGGAAAGACCTGACAGCAGCAGGTTTGTGGTGTAGCAAGATCCTTCTAGATGGGAGGAGGTGAGACTGGGGCAAGAGACCAGGAGGAGGGTAGGGCAGGATGAAGTGGGGACAGTGGATCAAGTAGGGAAGGGGAGGAGGAAGAACATATGAAATCTTTAAAAGATAGAATGGAGAGGAGAGATGGACTATGGGAGGTGAGGGGAGGAAGGCAGCCAGGAGAAGGCCCAGGCCTCTGGTCCAGCAGACAGGGTCAGTGACGGGACTGTGCCTAAGCTGGGGACCCGGGAAGAAGAGGCACAGGAAGGAAGCTGTTTGGTCAGGGTGAAATCCTGGGGGACACCCAGGAGGTGGCACCCAAGAGACTGCTAGACACATGGGCCTAGAGTGCAGGAGAGATGGTAGGGCTGAGACTGGGGGGCAGTCAGAGGTCAGACAGGGCTGAAATCCTGACAGTGGCAGAAGGTGGAAGGTGCAGTAAGGTAACGTCACCATCACCCAGCAATGACTGTGGACAGTGGCCCTGCCCAGGACAGCAGCCTCGGTTGGTGCCCAGGTTCTCGTCCTGGTCTACGCCCAGGGACACAGAGATGAGCAGACCCAGAGCCCCACAGGAGTGCCTGCCCAGTGGGGGTGCCTGGATGCACACAAGCAGTCCATGCTTCTATGGGGACAGTGTATGATGAAGGGGGGTTTCAGGGGGTACAGTGATCCATTCCCAAGGACTAGGGGCAGTGGAAAGTGTCAGGACCAGTTCCCAGGGAGGCTTGGAGAGGGAAACTGAATTAATCAGGAGTCTCTCAGCTTTAACTGGTTTAGGGAAATGTATTGACTCATGTTAAAAGAAGGTCAAGGGGTAACACCAGCTTCAGTCACAGCTTGATCCAGGAGCTCAAATGATGATGATATGAAGTCACTGTCCCATCTCTGGGATCCATATTTCTCTAATTTTTTTCCTCAGGAAGACTTCCCTTGAGGCAGCAAAGATGACCCCAGCAGCTCTAAGCTCACCTCCCACCCTCTTAGCAACTCCAAAGGGAAGAAAGGTCTCCTGCCCAATGCTTCCATCACTCACAGGCCCCACTGGGTCACACGCCCACCTCTGAACCAATCACTGTCATCAGAGGACAGAAGAACTGGAATGCTCTGATTGGCTGGTCCTGGGTCATGTGCCCTTCCCTGGAAAGGGAGGATGGGGTAAGCTCCAAGACAACCAGCTGAACTGAAATTTAAAGAGGGGTGGGGGCGGGCCACATGGGGTATGGGTTAAGTGCTGGCACTCTGCTGCTGGCAGCCCGGGGTTCGGATCTGGA